CCCCCCCCCCCCCCCCCTCTTTTATTTATGGGGTGTCCTCCCCCTCCCTGTAGCTCCAGCCTGTTTCGGGGTGGCTGAGGCTACGTTGGGAAGGACCCCCCACTCAGTTCCTCACAAGTGTTACCCCAAAATCTCCCGGAGTCAAAGGTGGGGCCGGCAGGGATGGGGCCACTGATGGGGCACACACCCAAAATGAAGGTGGGACATGGCCTTCCCACAACTGTCCCCCAGCCCTGGGGACCTCCTGGAAAGGGCTTTGAGGATGCCCAAGGGAGATGGGATGGTGGGGGACACACCTTGGTGTCCCCTTGTCCCTTCCCTGAGTAGCCCTGCTTGTCCCTTACCTCGGGGGTGACCTTGCAGCCCCCCCAATCTCCTGTCCCCCACTGGGTAGCCCTGCAGCCCCCCTGTCCTCTACTGGGAGTTGCCCTGTCCCCTAAGTCGCGGTGGCCCCACTGTGTCCCCTCCTGCCTAGGAGCCCTCTGTCCCCTACCTGGAGGTAGCTCTTGGTCTCCTCGTCCCATCCCAGGACGACTCTGCGGTCCTTATCCCATTACCTGGGGGGTTCCCTGTCCCTTACCTGGGGATGTCCCCTACCTGGGGGAGGTCCCCAACCCAGGGGGGGCTGCCTCCTGCCTGGGGGGGGCCCTGCAGCCCCGCCTGCCCCTCAGGGGGGTTTCCTCTGTCCCTGTTCCTGTCCCCTACCTGAGAGCCAGTGCGGGTCCCTCCGTGCGCTCCGCGGGCGCGCCCAGTTCGGCGCGGCGGGGGCAGAAGGGGGGGCAGAGCCGCCCAGCATCACCGCCCCTTCCTCCCTCCTCCTCCTCCTCCTCCTTCCTTCCTCCTCCCCCCTGCCTGACCAACAGAGCCCCGGGCAGGGGAAGGGGGGTACATGTCCTTAGGGTGCCTCATAAGTCCTCAGGGTGTCCCATGCACCCCCCTAAGGTGTCCCATATGCTCTCAGGGTGCCCCGTGGTCCCCTCGACCGCCCCTTGCACCCCGGGGTGACCCCATGGCGCCTCGGGTGCCTCGATGTGCCCTGGGATGACCCATGCCCCCCCCCCGTGCCGGGCTGTCCCATAGACCCCCCGGATTGCCCCAGCCACCCTCAGGGTGCTCCCCTTCCCCAAGGTGCTCTGTACAGCCCTTGATAACCCCAGCAAACCCAGGGTGCTCCATACTGTCCCACATCACCCCCAGGACGCCCATGTTCCCCCTATACAGCCCCAGGGTGGCCTCTTCTGCTGCCCCCCAGGGCCAGGAGGTCCTGTCCTGGGAAGCAGCCACCATCAGGGGCTCCTTCCCCCTCCAAATCCCCCACCCCACCTGCGCAGGGCCTGGTGCCTCATGGCATGGCACAGCCAGCTGCAGCCAGGTGGGGAAACTGAGGCACAAGAGCACTTTGAGGGTCATCCCCTCCCTGCCTCAGTTTCCCTTCCCAGGGAGGAAACACCCACCTCCTCCAAAAAGCTGCACCATGGCCATCCCCGAGCCCCTCTTTGGCACAACAGGACCCTGGCTCACTCTGCCTGTGGATTTTACTGGAAAAAGCTTTATTTCCCAAGATTTGTAAGCCCTTGGTGGCCCCAGCACTGTGACAATGTGACCCCACAGCCACCGAGGATGGGCACATCCACCAGCATCCCATGTCCCCAGCAGGATCAGGGAGCAAACCCCCAGCACCACTGCAGTATCACGCGGCCTCCCCAAAAACCAGGGGCTATGTGAGCATCCCCCCAATCTCCTCGATTCCATGGGATGGTGTCCAGCACCTTCCAGGAGTCCTTTTTCCTTCATCCCCATGGGGGATCTGCGACGAGGAGGATTTGGGGGGTTCCTATGTTTCGGGGAGCCAGGTGAAGCCACCCTGAGTTCCTGATGCCCGGTCACACCCCACAGCTTATCACGATGCCTCCGACGACAGCGATTCCGATCCCAACCGCCTCTCCAGCCCCGACTGCTGGGCAAAATCCTAGGAGGAGATGGAAGAGGAGAAGCAGAAAAGCCCCTCAGCATGGCCTCAGGGCTGCCACCAGCCGCTCACCCAGCTGTTTGGGGGGGGAGGTGACCCCATCTCACCTGCCGCCGGCACGACTCCAGCATCACCCTGGTGTGAAGGAGGCACCAGAACTCGCCCAGCAGCGACAGCAGGACGTGCAGGACGTCAGCCCAGCGGCCCACGGTGAGGAGGAGGATGAAGAGGCCGCCCATCCTCACCAGCACCGTCTGGTAAACACTCTGCCGCGGCCCCTCTGCAAGGACACGGCGTCGGGGCGGCCACCACCACCAGGGGGACACACACCCTGTCCCCTCTCCAGTCCCACGACCAGGGGACACCAGGGATGCTATGGGGTAGCTTTCCATATAGTCCCAGGATGCCCCATACAGCCCCACAACAGCCCATACTGCCCCTTTACAGCCCCAGGAGGCCCCTGTGCCCTCACATACCCCCAGCATGTCCCATACAGCCCCATATACCCCCTATAGAGCCCGAGTATGCCCCCAAGATGTGCCATATGGTTCCATACAGCCCCAGCTGTACCCCTACGTTCCTGAACAGCCCCAGGATGTCCCATCCTGCCCCATATACCCCAAATATGTCCCATATAATCTCTATACAGCCCCAGCTGCCCCACATACATGCTCCCATACAGCCCCATGAACCTTGTTCCCCTGTACAACCCTAGGATACCCCATGTGTCCCCTATACACCCCCAGGATGCTCCACACAGCCCCAGTACGGCCTCAGGGTACCCCAATATACCCCTTACACACCACCAGGATGCTCCATACTGGGACACACACCCCCCACCTCCCTAAAAAAAACACCAACAAAACCCAACAAATCCACCCTGCGACCCCGTCTGCGGCTGCTGTTTCTCACCCTGCATGTAGACGACCAGCAGCGTGTAGCAGATGGTGAGCGGGGTCCAGAACCGCACGGCCTCGGCCGTGGAGAGGAAGTCCCGGTTGATCAGGGCCACGGCGGCCAGCCCGGCCACGGCGAAGGTGAGAGCCAGCGCGGTGCGCAGCAGGCGGGGCAGCCCGTGCCCCGAGGCCAGCAGCAGCAGGCACAGCCCGCAGTACCGCGCCCGGCTGTGCAGCTCGTACAGGG